GTTCTCATTTAGTATTCCAGAGTCCCTTAACCCAACCAATATCCATTACTTATGCCTTTCTCACTCCATCTTCAAACCCACTCCATGTCCTTGAGGCACTTTGGTGGGGAGTCTGTGGTGTGGTGAGGATGTGCTCAGGGGGACCAGGACTCACAGAAGTGGGAGGTACAGATGGTAACCTGGAGAGATTTCTGAGATAAACAGTGATGTCTCTGCAGAGACCACATTAAATTGCACCAGGGATCAACACATCAGCTCTGTGTAGGGAGGAGAGAGTTGTTCTCTCATTTTGGAGGCAGCATGGGAAAGATGTCTGCCTCTGCAGATATCTTTATATATAAGTTAGTGGTCAGAAAGATGATTGATAGATAGATATGGGTATAGACACAGTTCTGTTCCAAATAGGAAAATGTGTAGCCCCTGGTGTCTGGAGGACATAAAAGGCCCTTTCAGAACTTACTGGAGACCTCATCAGGACTCTCAGTCTGGTCTTAACCCAGAACTCACTTACCTAGATTTACCTGCACAACATGAATACAGGACTTTCCTTGTTATTCTTGGAGAAATTAAAAAAAAAAACCCAAACCAACCAAACAACCAAACCAGGACACAGCTAATAAATAAATCAGGTTTAATCATAAACCATATACATATTTATAGATAGGGAGGGAGAAGTGGTCAGAAAGGTGCTGCTCTGGCAACAGGAATAAAAGAACAGTGTATTTTACCAATACAGTACCAATGAAGGGTGGAGTGGAGTTGATAAATGAATATGGGACTTTGTATCCCAGAGGCTAATTTTTACAGACAATCATCATTCTTGGTTTCCTGTCAAATTATAGCACAAACTAGCTCACAGCTCTGCCCAGGACACAGCAAGGCAGATGTAGCCAAACACAGAACTTGAGGGTGAGGGAGGGACAATTTATCTGAAGATCTTTCTGAGGTATATATAACATATATATTCTACTGTTGTTTACTGTTTTGGGGCCATGCTTTGCCCACAGATATGTGTGCACACATCTCATTCCAGTCAGGAAGAGTGGCAAGCTCACATTTGAGAGAATATATTGGACTTTGAGGGCTACAGGAGCTCATCAAACAACAGAGCCAGAAGCAGAACAGGAAGAGAACTAAAGATAAGAAAGCCTGAGAAAGGAAAGAAGTGAATGGACAGCCCCAGATTTATCTGACCAGTCAGTTCAGTCCTGTTTGAACAGCTAGGACAAAGCTTCTGTTCTGAAGGACTAATGCAGTGCAAATGATCAAGGCAAGTTTTCCTGGACAGTGAAGGAAACCATGAACAAAATTACTAGAAGCATGTCAGTAGAAGAAATATGAAGGAGCTGGGCCTATAACCATTCAATTCTTATTTTTGAAAAAGAATCAAATCCTGCCTCTGAAATGGTCTGATTCTACATATAAGTCTGGTCACTCTCAGCTGATACAGGCAGAGGAAGAAATCATTAGTCCAGTGGCCAGAAAGGCAAAGGGTGGCATTTGTATTATGAAACTCAGAATTGGTGTGGCTGCTTTGAGAAACAACATCACACCAGGCTTGCAAAGCAGCCAAATGCATTGGCTTTTTGCAGAATAATTTCACTTTCACTCAATGTACATATTAGAAAGTGTTACAGAAGAAAACCACCTTTCACTGGTAGAAAGCAGATACTGTTTAATATCAAATGCACTTGCCATCTGATTTTGCTAAAAGCCCACCCCCAGACAATAAAAAAACCCCAACAAATCCCAAATAAAATCTATAATACAAACCAACAATCATGTCAATGTGAAATGGTAACTGTCCCAACAAACATAAAACCAATTTCTTAATTTAGGTGCCCTCAGAAGTGAGTGAAAATCATGCATCCATATATAGAGTCCACTCCCAATCTGGGAATGCTCAGTTAAGACTGCTGCTCTTTGAAATGCAAGTCCCACTTTTTAAAAGGAGAGCTCCACACATGCATGCACACATACACATGGGCACACAGAGATAAACACACACACACACACACACACACACACACACACATATAACCTCCTCTCTCTTAGTAAGAGCTGCATGCTGGGTCACTGTTAATGCCTTCTGTGCATTTTTGATCTATTTTCTTTGTAACAATAAGGTTGAAATGTCTTTACTTCTCAGGACTGTATTTTTCAAACAAAAAGGGGAATGAAGAGGAACTACATTACAAAGACAAAAAATCACTTGTATCTCAGCTGTATGATTATTCCCAGTCATCTTCAAGGATGATGTTATTTACATTTGTGACTCAGCAGAATCCACAGGAAGTTATCATTTCTCCGTGTTGGGTTTTCTCAATAAACCCGATGAGCCTGTTCTTTGCTTCCACAGACCATTTTTCTTTAAGGCACTGCATGTGGACGTTTGGACGTTGTCTTCAGACAGAAGCGCAAGCCTCCTTCACTGGACTGTGCATTTCTCTCTCTCCCTGGACTGCCCTTCCCTGAGAACCTTTGATTTGATATACTTCAGGTCACTGTTGACACTTGGCCGGCGTGCGAAGGGAGAGATCATGCCATAGGCGTCCATGTCCTTGACTCGGCGCATCCGGAAGGATTTCTGTTGGAAAGTGTCACCATACTGGATGGAGATTTTCCTGTGGAGGGAAGGGCTCATCTCATGAGGTAGCTTGGCCATACTGAAGAGGACATAAAACATCTCATCTACATTGGTGTTCTTCTTGGCTGACACTTCAAAGTAAGCACAGTTTTCATCACTGGAGACAAGATTCTCACCTTCGTCAGTGCGTACCTTGCGATAGATTTCACTGTGGTCATTTTTGTTGCCACAGATCACCATGGGGAGGTCAGCCGATTCCTTGGTCTTGTTCTTCAGGCAGGATTTGACCTCAAGGATCTGTTTCTGGAGTCGCTTGACCTCATCAAAGGATTCTCTGTTGTCCAGGCTGAACACCAGGATGAAAACGTCCCCTGCAATTAAAAAAAAAAAAAAGATACTGTAAAGGCTTGTTGATCACAGCCAGTTTCAGAGGAGCAAATTTTAAAAAAGCAATTATTTTATTTCCATCTCCTCCCCATATTTTTTGTTTGGTCCTTTGGCAACTATTCACTCAGCTGTACTTTAGTTCTTCTCATTTAACTCCCCACGTCTTTCTATAGTGCTATGGAAATTACTTTTGCCTATGATGTTATTCCTGTCATATCCAGTTGCATTCCTAGTTTGCACTGGGCTTGCAAGTTATTGCCTGTTTTTATCTCATTTGTAGACATGTTTCTATCTCAGCTCTGCTGCATTGCTCTTCTTTTTACTTCCCTTCGTTTGTATCTCTGTGTAAAACACATCCTGTTCTGACGCCAGAAAGAGTGAAGAGCTGGTAGCCACTCAGCCTTTACCCATTGATTACACAATACACGAAGGAACACCTGAACTGAAGCTTTACAGCTAATCAGTCCTGACCACTCAAGTCAGAAATGAGAGGTTTCTCGGTGCGCTCCGCTGTCATTGCATTTCCTTAAGAGAAACAGACCATGAAAAAATCCTAATACATAAATGACACACATCCCCTGGCATTTCCTTTTGACATTTCCTGACTTACAATTCCTTTTGCAAGTAGAAAATAAGGCAAATCATTGCCTGTTGAATGTCACTCATGTGGAACATGCTAAGAGAGCTTTCAGGGACTAAAGCTCACATTTGCATCCCAGAAACTGATTCTAGGAGCTCACTGAATATGGATTGTAGCCTTGTCAGATGTGAATGTCATGTTTCACTGGCCAGTTAGAAAGGTGGATGGCGAATCCAGAAATAAGGTTTGTTGTGAGCTGTGGCCGAATGTAGGAGTGTGCTCCTTGTTGACAGAGTGACAAAACTATCCTTTGTCTCCCAAAAAAGGAAAGAAGCCCAGAAGTTTCTCTCATCGGTTAGGTGAAAAGCCACCTCATAGGACCCAAGACTTCACCTCAGACTTAAGGGCAGCTACTTGGATAGAAGCCAAAAAAATCCCACCTGACCAGCTGGGTAGAAAAAGAAGAGAACAAAGGAACGGAGGGCTCTTGTGAGGTGTTTTTACCAGGAGCAGATCTCTTGCACTTGGGTCGGTTTTTCTGTTTGTTATTTTGCCTTTTATTAAACTTTTTTGTTTCCAACACTGCAACAGAAGCCATCCTGCTTATTTTATGCCCCCAAAAGTAGCTGAGCTATCTTGGATGTATTATATTTCATGTTCCGAGAGCTTATAAGACCTGGCTAGAGGAAGAAAATATAATAGCCGAATACACATCTGCTGTCACTTTTATAATTAAAGAATATATTTTAGCTCACAACAGGAACAGCTTGACAGTGAGAAGATGCAAAATGGTCCCACCACTTCCCCTTCTTTTCTCTTTAAACACATGTGATTAGATGCAGATTAAGAAGAAAGGGTAAAAGTAAAGCTATCCTTCTACTGGAATGTTAAATCAAGGAAATCAGGCTGGAAATTTTCGGAATAAAAAAATACTTGGGACTTTCTTGGTTAGAATTCTCTTTCTGTGCATTTTATATTTATTTTTCACTGTATGTGTCCTACAACAACATGATTAATTTGCCCTTTGCTGCTCTTTATACCCACAGAATTGCATTCAGCCATTTATTTGTGACATCAATAAATGGTGAATTTACAAAGTATGAAGTAAAGTACGAAGCAGGAGGGGAAGGTAGATGGATACGGGAAAATCTCAATTTCAGACCTTCACCCACTGGTCTTCTCCACTGTGGCTAGTGCATTCCTTATAGTGCTGGGAACATGCCAGCCAGGAAATATCTCTCTATAGAAATGCATCTTGCAGTAAATCAAGCAGTCCCTTCGCTATTTCCCAAAAACCAGTCATACCCAGGCTATACTTTTCACCTTTTGACCTTCCCCCCGACTTTCTCACCTGTTAGGATGGAAAGCCTCCTCATGGCAGGGAAAGGGTGATTCCCAGAGGTGTCCAGGATGTCCAGCTGATACATGTCTCCCCGTATGTTGTAGACCTTGCGATGGAAGTCCTCGATGGTGGGAGTGTACTGATCCTCGAAGCGGCCGTTGAGGAAGCGTGAGACGATGGAGCTTTTCCCCACCCGGGACGCTCCCAGCACCACCATGCGGTACGAGTTCTTGGCCGGCACGTTCAGGTTGCAGTTTCCACCAGACATAGTCTTCATCATTGCTTGGTCCTGAAAGAGGAAACAGCAGAGTTGGAGGAAAGATCAGAAACCAAACAGAGGGTAAAATAAGACAGCTCCTCAACACAAAAATGCAAAAGAGCACTCTGGAGCACAGTCCTGCACAACAGAGCAGAGTAATCAGTGGTCCATACAGAGATTTTTTTCAGTCTCATTTTCAGTGAGTAGGTGGTTTGTTTTGGTTTTGTTTTATTGTTGTTGCTGTTCTTTGTTTTCTTTTAAAGTAGTATAAAAATGAAGGCATTTACATTGAAAATAACATGCTTTGGAATTGTAATTTGCTCTTACATTTAAACATTAAGGGCTGAATTGATCTTTGCTGTTACATTTAAACACTAAGGGCTGAATTTATCAGCTGCTCTTCAACTGAGACACCAGGTTCCTTCCCACCATCTGTGTCACTTACACATTACCAGATTTTTCAGTAGAATTTGGTTCTCATTTAGATACATAAACACAGAGGTCAGATTCCCCAGTGCAGCCACTGCAGCTGCCATTAGAACCTAGATTGCTTCATTTGGTTGCCTAAATAGGAACTGTGCATAAGACTTATTTTCTGAGATCAGCCAAAAGTCAGACAGAAACAAGAATCATGCTTAACATCTCAGACATCTCAGTAACTTTAAATAGCTGGTCCCATGCAATATTCATTGCTGATGCAGGGAGCGTGAGCCACAAAATAGCACTGGCTGGTGATAAATTCAAAGATCTGTGCCTCCAGTGACCTTTGAGAAAACAGATTTTAATTCTGCTGTTTGGCCGGGTAGTGTGGGAACTCCCTATAAGCAAACTATCATTGTTGCAGCAGGATGGCTGTCAATGGGTGGAACTGCAGAAACACAGATTTTTTAGGAGCTCCAGTCTTTATACATACAGATGGTGCAGGCACCACTGGCTTTGCTAAGCACGGGTGCTAAGTACAGGCAGGAGGAAAGATGAAGGACATCTTAAATAGATATTAGACAAGATTTCCAACCCATGACATCTAAAATGAGTCTAGAGACCATGGAGACTGCATTTTGACACAGCACTCAGATGCAGGAAACTTTGGTAGGAAAGAAAAAGTGCTGCTCAGACCTTTTTAATGTACCAGTTCAAATGAACTGTGTGCTGAAAGAAAAATACAGCCCCTGTGTGGGGAAAGCTGACTGTTACAGCAAAGGAGGCACACTTTGGGCAGAGTTTATTTTGGTTACTAGGTTCTTATTAAAGAATATTCAAGTTCCCACTGTGCCATTTATTTAACTTAGGTGTTGTTTATTTAATATTACAATGCAAGTACTTTATGTACACAGAAAGATAATTTCTGGGTCCAGATCTGGATTCCTATCTTTCCCTTGAGTGACTTTTATCTCCAAAGCTTTTATGTAGCTGACAATTATCTCAGGGAAGAGCTTAAAATATTTTATGTTGTTTAACATGTGCTAAGCACCAAAGCAGCAGTGAAGGTACAGTCACTGCTAAATAAAGAAGTCTCTGGAATTCTGATCCAGCATCATTACAAGCTCTGTGCTATAGCCCAAGGAAACAGCAAAACACGACTCTTTATTATTATTGCCATAATTTGCAGCACAGCAATGGCATATTCAGCCCTACCTAATGCACAAAAGAAAATGCAATGCTCTCCTCGGAGTAGCTTACACTCTGAATTACATTCAGAGGGAAGGACAGCCTAATATTAGACCCAGATTAATGCTAGAACACAACTTTAGATGGGCACACACATGCAGAATTATGGTACTGTTGGGATTGCTGTGGCAGAAATGACAGCAAGGAGCACAGCTGGTATTTGAACTGGATTCTGTGTTTGTTTACCACAGGACCTGTCTCCAATAGTGCAGAAATACCATATTCAGTCTCTGAAACACTGCCATTTACACTATCCCTAGCCAGTCCAATACTGTTTTGCATCCATGGGCAGACAAAAAAATGCTTATTTTCACCCTCTGAGGCTTATTTATTTGGCGGAGAAGAGCAGGGAAACAGATGAGTTGTAAAAACTACAAGCGACTTCACCACCCAGGACCAGTATCTAGAGGTGAGGCAGCTCCTCAGGCCATGATGGACCAGTGTAGCTGCATGAGGGCAAGTGAACTGTGTGGTTTACACCTGCTAGAGAGCTTTTGCACTTTTTCTCTCAGTGCAAAAGCGTCTGGGAGAGAGCACAGTTACACATTTTGAGCAAATGCTTTTTATGTCCTGTACAAAACATGCGTGCTGAGGGACCTGACCACTTTACACTGTCCGTGTTCCACCTGCCAAGGCATTCAGCCAAGAGGACTCCTGTGCTTTCATAACTGCATTGCATTTCCCTCAGAGTCAAAATATGCTTTTCAGCATTTCGATTTGTGGAGTTGCTACTCATCACCTCTGCTGCAAACCTGACTCAGAGCGTGCCATTGAACTAGGAGCTTACATTTTTGTTTTGAGCCTTCTCTTCTTATCCCCTCAGTCCAGTTTTTCCCTAGCTCAACACAGTCTGTCTCCTTTCCTCTTCAGAAAAGGAAAGAAACTTCAGCCTTGACACCCAGGAGTGGCAGGGGGGAGCACAGGGCTCATACAGTGAAAAAGATTAAAGACAGTAGAAAGGAAACAGAGAGACACCACATGTTCATGTACTAAGTAAAGCAAAATCAATCAGAAGAGAATGAGGAGACAAACAACCTCCAGCTGGCTTTAATCTACATCTTTTCCTTCCAGTTTATTAAATGCTTAAGCATAGATTAATTCCTGGTGGTACCTTCTGCTTTATGTACTGGCTTGATGCTAGAAAGTTTATATTAGTATTTTATATAGTTACAGTGCAGGGATTTCAAAATGTCATAGAAATTCAGGCAATTAATGTTATCTCTAAATAACACTAAATTAAGGAAAAAGCTCATTTGCCCAGAAAAAGCTGAAACCGCAGTCCAAAATAAACATTAAACCCTATTTCTCTTGACTCCCTGTGTTATCCTCTACCAGCTAAGCACCATTTCCCTTTTTATAGGCAGGCATCAGAATGAATGACAATGAACCTGCTTTTGTATGCTCTGGAGAGCACTTGTACTGACAAATTGGAGCCTGAGCACCCCGAGGGAGATTACCTAAGGAAGATATTCTTTATTCAACCTGCCCAGAGCTATTGCACCTTAGTTTTCCATCCTCCCATCAGGGTGTACGCTCTCCCTACAGCTCCCCATTCATGAACAGAATTCTGAACTACCTCCCTTGCATGCTTCTGAATTCAGCTGCTGGTTGTGTTTCTGTTTGTCACCCCAGTTGTTAATCACTGCACCCAGCTAAAATGGACATAGGCAGACACAAACTGTAGCATGCATAACAGACCTGTCACTTCTTACTCACTACTAGTGTCCCTGTAATTTTCATGCACACCAGAATCACTCCTGTGGGATGTTTGTTTCCTGCTTTTCACCACAAACTCCGTGCTGATTTCTTACCTCTCTTTCCCAGGAGGAGCAGTCCTGGGTCTTGGTGCAGTCTGATGAAGTTGATAATTTTAATAAGAGGTGACTGGTGTTGTAAAAGGCTGTTGCTCTGTGGATCCCACACTGCTTATTCTGGGCTCAGTTCTTCTCCAGTATTTCCCAAGGACTTAGCAGGATTGGGAAGGACCGCAGGGCTCCAGAGGGCGTTCCCCCATGGATGTGAGTACCGGATCAGGCAACCGACTTAGGCTAAAGAAGAGTCTCAGAACTGGTGGCAGTTTTTCCCTTTGGGCAGATGAGGTCTTTTCCTCACAGGCTCAGTTCAAGAAAAGGAGAGGCAGAGTCTCTCCCACTCCCACTGCTTTTTCTTGCAAGTTGTACTTTGTAGGCTCTGCTGTGGGGAAAGACTTTCAGGAGCAGCACCTACTCGTGCAGGATAGTGGGTGCATCCAGCTGGCCCACCGTGCCTCTGTGCCTCCTCAGATCCTCTGCAGAAAGATGAGGGTTGGCATGGAAGTTGCCTTCAGTGACCCTATGCTTCCCCAGGTCTTGCCTGGCTCATCCCTTCCCACGGGCTTCTTTTCTTCTGGTCTGAGATTTGCTTTAAAATATTCTCTCTCTAGGATAAAAGAGGCTTTTTTTTACATTTGCCAGTTAAGTCTTTTTTCCTTCCCTCCCTGCCTTTCTCCCTCTCTCTCTCACAACTACTGGCAAATTGCAGATTTTCCTTCTGTAGGACTCACAGATAATTGGCTCAACTCCTCCCTTGAAGTCAGTGTCAGACACAGGGGAAGGAGGGGTGCTGAGGGGGTGGGATTTTTGTGCCTATTGGAAAAATCTTTTATTTTCTCTTCTAAAGAGAAAATAAAATGTGCATTGCAGAATGTACATTCCCTGTACTTTCCACCAGAGACCTGTATGTATGCATGTGTGGGGAATGAGTTAGTGTATGTGTATGAGAGACACAGAGAATTCATTTACTTAGCAAGCTGAAAATTCATAAGCTGTTTCTAAAAGCTCTATGCCTCCCTGCTGATTTTTTCTGCTAGACAGCAGCAGACTGACTCATTTCCAAGGAAGGGGCTTTCTGTCCATAATTTCTGTAAATCTTTTGCTGTATGGAATGCTTTCCCCAGTTTGCTCAGCCTCAAGACATTTACATGGTTTGATTAAGAAATGAAAATAATGTGTAACTGTTGTTCTTTCATTAATATTTAAATAAATTGAAAACTAAACTAGGGATGAATAATAGAAATGTTAAAAAAGGTCAAACAAACTGAAAGTGTGTGGAACTGAAACTCAGGAAAAAGAGAAAAACAAACTAAAAATAAGATGAATTCAAGACATTTGTTCAACCCCAAGTGAAACATTGTGTTTGCAGTTTAGTTCATTGCTGATCTGCTTGAATTTTTTTTCTTCTTTTTGAGCTGAAATAGTAGTTTAGATCTATGAGTTTCTTTCAAAATATGTCAAAAACTTGATTTTGAAAGATTTGAAATTAAAT